TTTGGGGGGCTCGGGGGGCGATTTGGGGGATTCCAGAGAGGATTTGGGGGCTCGGGGGGCGATTTGGGGGATTCCAGAGAGAATTTGGGGGGCTCAGGTGCTAATTTGGGGGTCTCAGGTGCTAATTTGGGGTCTCGGGTGCCAATTTGGGGGTCTCAGGTGCCAATTTGGGGGATCCAAGAGCGAATTTGGGGGGTTCAGGTACCAAATGAAGGGATTCAAGTGCAATTTTGGAGGTTTAGGTGCCAATTTGGGGGTCTCAGGTGCCAATTTGGGGGTGTCAGGTGCCACTTTAGGGGATTCAGGACCGAATTTGGGGGTTCAGGTGCCAATTTTGGGGTCTCAGGTGCCAATTTGGGGGATCCAAGAGCAAATTTTGGGGTTCAGGTGCCAATTTGGGGGATCCAGGACCGAATTTGGGGTCTCAGGGGCCAATTTGGGGGATTCAGAACCGAATTTTGGGGTTCAGGTGCCGATTTGGGGTCTCAGGTGCCACTTTGGGGTCTCAGGGGCCAATTTGGGGATCCAGAACCGAATTTTGGGGTTCCAGGTGCCAATTTGGAGGATTCAGGACAGAATTTTGGGGTTCCAGGACCGAATTTTGGGGTTCAGGTGCCGATTTGGGGGATTCAGAACCGAATTTTGGGGATTCAGGACCGAATTTGGGGTCTCAGGGGCCAATTTGGGGGATCCAGAACCGAATTTTGGGGTTCAGGTGCCAATTTTGGGATTCAGGACCGAATTTTGGGGTTCCAGGACCGAATTTTGGGGTTCAGGTGCCACTTTGGGGGATTCAGAACCGAATTTGGGGGATTCAGGTGCCAATTTGGGGGATCCAAGAGCAAATTTTGGGGTTCAGGTGCCACTTTGGGGTCTCAGGTGCCACTTTGGGGTCTCAGGGGACAATTTGGGGGATTCAGAACCGAATTTTGGGGGTTCCAGGTGCCACTTTGGGGGATTCAGGACCGAATTTGGGGGATCCAGGACCGAATTTTGGGGTTCCAGGTGCCAATTTGGAGGATTCAGGACAGAATTTTGGGGTTCCAGGTGCCAATTTGGGGGATCCAGGACCGAATTTGGGGTTCAGGTGCCGATTTGGGGGATCCAGGACCGAATTTGGGGGATTCAGAACCGAATTTTGGGGTTCAGGTGCCAATTTGAGGATCCAGGACCGAATTTTGGGGTTCCAGGTGCCAATTTGGGGATCCAGGACCGAATTTTGGGGTTCAGGAGCCAATCCAGGTATTTTTCCCCCTCCCCAGCAGCTCCCAGGTGTTTCCTGCATTTCCCCTCTGCCCAGTTTGGGGCACCTGATGCAGTTTAAAGGTCTGGAATAGGAAAATTCACTTTTCAGGGGGTCTGGAATCATGAAATGCACCTTGAAAATGGGTGTGGAGTCATAAAATTCACACGGAAAGGGGTCTGGAATAATAAAAATCACTTTTCAGGTGGGTCTGGGATAATCAAAATCACTTTTAAGATGGGTCTGGAATAATAAAATTCACTTTTCAGATAGGTCTGAAATAAAAACTCACTTTTAAGATGGATATGAAATATTAAAATTCACTTTTAAGATGGATCTGGAATAATTAAAATCAGTTTTAAGATGGGTCTGGAATAATCAAAATTACCTTTTAAAATAAATCTGGAATAATAAAATTCCATTTTTTAGATGGGTCTGGAATAAAAACTTTTAAGATGGATCTGGAGTAATAAAAATCAGTTTTTAGATGGATCTGGAATAACAAAAATCAGTTTTAAGATGGGTCTGGAATAACAAAAATCAGTTTTAAGGTGGGTCTGGAATAATTAAAATCAGTTTTAAGATGGATTTGGAATAACAAAAATCAGTTTTAAGATGGATCTGGAATAATAAAATTCCATTTTTTAAATGGGTCTGGAATAAAAACTTTTAAGATGGATCTGGAATAATAAAAATCAGTTTTAAGATGGATCTGGAATAACAAAAATCAGTTTTAAGGTGGGTCTGGAATAATAAAAATCAGTTTTAAGGTGGATCTAGAGTCATAAAATGCACCTTGAGGATGTCTAGGAAAAACAAAATTCGATTTATTTGTTTTATAAATAAATGATATAAAAATCCCAAGTCCTTTCCAGAGGTTTTTCCTTTCCCTGGAGCTGCCAGGGAAAGGAAAAAGCGAAATAAAATCGATTTAAAGGCGGATTTTTCTGGGATTTCTCCACCCGGTTCCATCCGTGGATTTTGGGAGTTGTGAAGGAATTCTGCAGGAATTCTGAAGGAATTTTCCGGCACACTGGAGCCTTTCAGAGCCGAACAAAGGGAATATTCACCCGGGAATGGAGGCTGGGATGGAGCCAGGGGACACAAAGGGACCTTTCAGGGACAGCAGGGGGGAGAATTCCAAGGGAAATCCCGAATTTTGGGGGGAAATTCCCATGGGAGGTGGTGATGGTTGTTAAAAGTGAAGTTTTGGGCTGGTGGGGATTGGGGGGGAATTCTGTGGAATGGGAATTGCTAAAAAAAAATAAACAAAACCAGGTTGGATGCTGGTAGGGATTCCTTAAAAAATTCCTAAAAATCTGGGTTGGACCTGGGAAAATTCCTAAAAAAAAATCCTAAAAATAATCCTAAAAAATCCAGGGTAAACCTGGAAAAAGTCCTAAAAAATTCCTAAAAATCTGGGTTGGACCTGGGAAAATTCCTTAAAAAAAAATCCTAAAAAATTCCTAAAAATCCAGGTTGGACCTGGGAAAATTCCTAAAAAAAAAAATCCTAAAAAATTCCTAAAAATCCGGGTTGGGCCTGGGAAAATTCCTAAAAATATTCCTAAAAAATTCCTAAAAAAAATCCTAAAAATCCGGGTTGGACCTGGGAAAATTCCTAAAAAAAAATCCTAAAAAATTCCTAAAAATCCGGGTTGGGCCTGGGAAAAATTCCTAAAAAAAATCCTAAAAATAATCCTGAAAAACCCAGGGTAAACCTGGGAAAATTCCTAAAAAATTCCTAAAAAAAATCCTAAAAATAATCCTAAAAAACCCAGGGTAAACCTGGGAAAATTCCTAAAAATATTCCTAGAAAATTCCTAAAAATCCAGGTTGGACCTGGGAAAATTAAAAAAAAAATCCTAAAAAAAAATCCTAAAAAAATTCCTAAAAAACCAGGTTGGACCTGGGAAAATTCCTAAAAAAAAAATCCTAAAAAATTCCTAAAAATCCGGGTTGGACCTGGGAAAATTCCTAAAAAAAAATCCTAAAAAATTCCTAAAAATATTCCTAAAAATCCAGGGTAAACC